CCCCACAAGCTGCATGTCTTTGGACGGTGGGAGGAAGCCGGAGTACCCGGAGGGAACCCACGCAAACACAGGGAGAACATGCAAACTCCACAAAGAAAGACCCCGGCCTGATGGTGGAATTGAACTCAGGACCTTCTTGCTGTGTGGCAACAGTGCTAACCACCGTGCCACCGTGGACCAAAAATACCGTGGCCAATTTATTTTGTCCGAGTTCAGGTCTGCCTCACAGTAGCTTTGAGAGTGATATTGCATGAATATGTGTTGAATGAAAAACATGGGGAAATATATATATACATTCAATTTAACTGGTTTTAGGAAACTCTGACTGGCTTATGTGTACAGGTTTTCTAGTCTAACCAAACATTTGAAGTACCTGACAAGTTCCACCTTGCAGGAGGAAACGCGCCTGATATTGTCTCTACTTGAACCCGATTTACAGGTGCAATGACAGTCATGAGAAGAATGTTTGAGAACCACACCTCTGACATTTCCCACACAATCATTTACCCAAGCAAATCTCTCCATAGTGTAGGCCAAATCAGAGTGAACAATGTCCTTCTCTGAAGCACCGATTGCACTGACTGCATTTAATCAGAATTGGTTGCATGTGGGTGTAAATAGAACACTGGTACTTTTACCTCACTTAATCAAGAAAATGTATTTATTTTCGGTTCTTATCAATCCTGTCAAAATAATAAATTTGATATGTCAATGTTTTTATTCTTATGTTAGCGACAGACACAGTGGAGATTTAATCAAGGATTAACCCTCTTGTGCAATTCTTTTTAAAATGAATCTGAAAGAAAGTTGCATAACCTTGGGTTCTGAATTAGATACTTTTTCATCTAATATTGTGATCTCAAGAATGAGACTCAAGAAAATTTTATACTCATAAATGATCATTTTATCCTCATCAAGTATTTAAGAATAATAATGCAATGCACACAATGAATGATTGACCATAGTTGCAGCTCATTCCTTGGGTATATAAATCAACAATATCTAAGAAACATTTTCCTCAGAATCTGATTTTGAATCAGAAATTTATTAATTCATTTATTTCTTTATTGCTTTAACTTTAGTAATGCAATGCACCGAGGCAAGGAAGAAACAGCCACTGTATCAATACTTGTTTTTGTTCATCTATGTCAAAGACATAAAGTGAATGTACTTTTGCTGTTGAAACTATGATATAGTATATGATTTAACCAGTAAAAATAATGTTGACCAAACATGATCAAGACATTTGAAATCTAGATTGTAACAGTGACTTTTATGTAAAATTGGTTGTCATTCATAACAAAATTTCATTAACATTATTGTACAAAAAATCAACATATTATCATCATCAGATTATGTTTCCCTGATTTATATGGCATGGCCTTTATTTATGTATTATTTGTTTATGCCAAGCTTTAACATAACAAGTCACATTTAGGATTAAGTTTAACCAGTAGTGCTAGAGTTTGTATTATTATTAAACTGAAATATACAAATGTTTATCATATCTATGTAATCATTGCATATGTGAGTCTCTGTGTGTGAGAGAGAGAAGGGCGGGACTAGCAGCAGCTGATAGTTCTCTAAAGAAAAAACAGAGGGCCTGATGGTTCATCAAGTTTAACTAGTTTTGCAACATTACGTTTGCCTTTATTTAGTTTCATCACTTCTTTTCTTTCTTTCTTTCTTTTTTTACAGCGTATGATGAACATTGATTCTGTACCATGATTGGCTAGATGCAAAAAAAGAAAAAAGGGAGACAGTATAAAAGAGGGAAAAGAAGCCATGAGGAGGTCATTACTCTTGGACCGTGCTCCTGAAATAGCATTTCACAGACTCTGCCTAAAGCACCAAACTAAGTAAGTAATAGATTATTTGTTCTTAATTTATTGCTTGGTTATTTTGTACTTAGGAACACCTTACATGACTTGTCAATAACCTGAAATATTAGGGAAACTTAAACTTTGAGATATATTACCTGTTAATAAGCATCAATATTTTGAAAGAAGTATTATTAACAGCAGGTTTTGAGATTTTACTTCAGGAAAAGCTGTAAACTAGTAATATTTGTCTAAAAATGGACATCACTGACATAAAGAGTTGGAGGATGTATTGTTCATAGTTAAGGATATTAACAAGATAAAATTTCCTAGCCTACATGCAGAAATTCAGGAGTCAGACTTTTTCAACCAGCACATATAGTTAGAAACTGACTTATTTAAACAGTATTTTCTGAATAAAATCTCAAATTTTATAGGCAGGTAAATGTTATACAGTAAATAAAACAAGATGGGTGTGTCAAAGCGTCTGGTATGATTTTATTTTGACATTATATATGCTTTATACATGATAATTCATTTTCTTTTGACCTCAGGAAATTTGTGGTACCATACTGAGTTTACTCATTCAGAATAATGGGAGAACAGGAAAGAAATATCCCCGAAGCTGTAAGTACTACATACAAAGCATAAAGCATGGCTTAGAGCCGGGGTGTCGAATTCCGGGCCTTGAGTGCCGGTGTCATGCAGGTTTTATCACCCTGGGTCAAATCACCTGAATCAAATGAGTAGTTCATTACCAGCCCTCTGGAGAAATTCAAGACATGTTGAGGAGGTAATTTAGCCTTTAAATCAGCTGTGTTGTATCAAGGACACATCTAAAACCTGCAGGATAATGGGCCCTTGAGGCCTGGAGTTTGACACATGTGGCTTAGAGTAAAGTGTGCGCTGCATTGTGAAATAATTTGATGCACTTATTTCTTAACTGATTGACAAAATAAAGTACTAGGACTGACCTTCTGTAAGTTAAGAAGAGAGCTGGAGCCAGATTGACCTGTGAGATCCCCAAGTTTGAAAAACAAATGATTCTAGTAGAAATTTAGATCTCATTTTCTGGAAACACAACACAAGGTATAGAGCCATATGATAAAATTGACACATTATACACCATTGATCGAAAATTAAGATAAAAGTGTTTAAGAGTAGCTGAAGATATATATACACACACACACACACACACACACAGCAAACCTGGAAGCAAAGCAGGGGGATACAAATATATCTACCCCTGCCTACTGCCACTCACCAAGGACAACTCCAGAGAGGAATGGAGTCCAACCCCTCAGTGTGGTTAAATAATTCTGTATCCTTGGCAGAAAAAAAAATCCAAGGCAGAATTTTTCCACCTCCATACTTGACTCTGATTTTTTTCTTTGGGTCATTCTGAGCAATCTCTGAATAATTTAAAAGTCAGCCATGATACTGATATATTTATATAGCCATGGGTCAAATAATTAATTGAAACTCTTGTTTCCTGCTATTATTGTGTTAACTAAACTGAGAGATAGGCCACCAATACCTTTTACTGCAGTTACTAGCACGATGCCATTATCAAATTATCTTCTTATGGCCTCTGACTGTGGATGCATCTCTGTGCTTGTCCTGTTAGACCTCAGTGCAGCGTTCAATACTGTTGACCATAAAATTCTATTAGCGCGATTAGAGCACGCTGTAGGTATTACAGGTACTGCGTTGCAGTGGTTTGTATCATATCTATCTAATAGACTCCAATTTGTGCATGTAAATGAAGAGTCCTCTTCACACACTAAGGTCAGTTATAGTGTTCCACAGGGTTCAGTGCTAGGACCAATTCTGTTTACATTATACATGCTTCCCTTATGCAGTATGATACGGAGATATAGTCAACCTTTTCACTGCTATGCAGATAAAACCCAACTCTATCTGTCCATGAAGCCAGATGTTATATCCTGTGAGGCTGTGGGAGTGTGTGGGCGTGGTATAGTCCTCTCCCTCTCCTCCTCCTTCTTCCTGCCCCTCCCCCTCTTTCTCTCTGCCCCTGCCTTTTCCTTTAGGACACACCCGCTGCTCATCTGCCCTCGTTTACCACCAATTATCCTCCAGAGGCTGTGTAGTGATGGGCAGATGAAGCTTCATGAAGCACTGAAGCTTTTCATCCAATTGGTTCACCCCAGCGCAAAGCATCTTGAAGCTTCATTTGCTCTAGTAGGACATCTACTGGATGTAAAAATATTAGTTGGCATGAATTTGAAGAGTGTGGCATTTTGCACACAGCCTGTAAATGTCAACAACAAAAGGAGTGTGTAAAACATCTATTTTGTAGTGATGGCAGTATACTTTGTATATTTATATTGGCAGTATGGAAAATTATTATTTGGAAATGCTTAAAATTGAAATGATCATTTACTGTGAGGCGAGGTGTGGTTGAGGTATGGACAGCTACACACTGAGACTTTGAGCCTCAGTCCTGCCTGTTCACATTTTATTCTGTAAAAACTAAATTTTCACTGCTTTCATGACCTTTTTAGTGGGGAGAACATAGCTAGGACTTAATGATTTAACAAATCTTTTAAATCCTTTGTCCTCCACAATGCTAAATGGCTGGGAGTCCTCAATCACCATGCTAACCAGGTCTTTTTGATCTATTTGAGATTGTTCTCCTGAGGAAAGACAATAAAAACAAAGCAAAAATATAAATATCACATTTAACTTATTACAGTTGTATAATATTGTTATATCATTTAGTAACATTACTGCATGCTATATTATCATGGCATTTGATGGCTCACCTGGTCTTGCTCCACAATCGGTGTTCCCCTTATTCTCATGCAAAGCTCTGTAGTGCCTAAGCATGGATGAGGTGTTGTCGTTATATCCCAGCTCCCTGGAACATAGCAAACACTTCACCTTGTACAAAAGTAAAGACAGCTTAACATAAATTGTATTGCACCATCAGTATTATGAAAATACATCTTCTGTAGAAATTTACATACCTTGTTGGGAGGAATAGGATCAAAATGATCCCACACAGGGGAGGACATCCTCCTCTTCTTAGCTGGCTCCATTCTCTCCTGACTTTCTCTCCTCACGCTCCTAAACCTCAAAACCGTCTCCAAACTCTCACTAACCGCAACTCTCCATCAAACACCCACATTTTGAATGAAGTCTGAGGGGTTTATATCGCTGTCATAGCTCGCGGCAAAGTTTGAACCACTTCCTGAACCAGTGGTTCAGCCTGGCAGCGAGGCTTCGGACGTCATCATTTTCATCTCCTCCCATAAATGAAGCAAGCCTCGTTACGCGCATTGCGAAACCGCCCCTCCATTGCTCGACACAATCTTTGAAGCCTCGATACAGAACGTCACATCACTACTGCTGTGTGTGTGACCAGCCCCACCGTGCATGGCTTTTTTGTGAGTAGCTCTCAACTGGGCAATTGTTTCTTGTAGGTGAAGCGGCCTCCTTTTCGTTGGATTGGCCTGCCTGGTTTATTGCTAATAGCAGCGTTGCTGTCTTTTTCTGTTGAATCCTTATAATTGTTTTCTTAGTTGAAGCAGCCACCATTTCTTTGGGTTGGCCTGTTTGATTTATCGTCAGAGCAGCATTGCTGCCTCTTTGTGTTGATATTGTTCATATGGTTTTTGGTTATAATAAAGACATATTTTGTGTTAAACACCTCTGCCTGGCGTCCTTTTCATTTCAATCCAGATCCAACTGTCCCCCACCCTATTCGCCTAGCTTTCATGTGGGGACGTAACACCAGATAACACACCAATTGGTTAAACTGCAGGAATGTCTTAAAGACATAAAGACCTGGATGGCTGCTAACTTTCTGCTTCTTAATTTAGACAAAACCGAGGTTATTTTACTCGGCCCTAAAAATCTTAGAAATATGGTATCTAACCAGATTCTTACTCTGGATGCTATTACCTTGGCCTCCAGAAACACTGACAGGAACCTTGGAGTCATTTTTGACCAAGACATGTCCTTCAAAGCAAACAAACTGCATGCGCATTAAACAAATATGTAAGACTGCTTTCTTCCATTTGAGCAACATCTCTAAAATTAGAAATATCCTGTCTCAGAGTGACGCTTAAAAAGCTAGTTCATGCATTTATTACTTCCAGGATGGACTGCTGTAATTCCTTATTAGCAGGATGTCCTAAAAACTCCCTGAAAAGCCTTCATTTAATTCAAAATGCTGCAGCAAGAGTACTGAAAGGGACTGGAAAGAGAAAGCATATTTCTCCTGTATTGGCTTCCCGTCATAGGCTTTCTGTTAAATCCAGAATTGAATTGAAAATCTTGCTCCTCACATACAAGGTCTTAAATAATCAGGCCCCATCTTATTTTAATGACCTTGTAGTACCATATCACCCTATTAGAGCACTTTGCTCTTGCACTGCAGGCTTACTTATTGTTCCTAGAGTATTTAAAAGTAAAATGGGAGGGAGAGCCTTCAGTTTTCAGGCCCCTCTTCTGTGGAACCAGCTTCCAGTTTGGATTTGGGAGACAGACACTATCTCTACTTTTAAGATTAGGCTTCAAACTTTCCTTTTTGCTAAAGCATATAGTTAGGGCTGGACCAGGTGACCCTGAATCCTCCCTTAGTTATGCTGCAATAGACGTAGGCTGCCGGGGGATTCCCATGATGCATTGAGTTTTTCCTTTCCAGTCACCTTTGTCTCTCACTATGTGTTAATAAACCTCTCTGTATTAAATCATACCTGTTATTAATCTCTGTCTCTCTTCGACATCATGTCTTCATCCTGTTTTCTTTCTCTCATCTTAACCGGTCGCAGCAGATGGCCCCGCCCCTCCCTGAGCCTGGTTCAGCTGGAGGTTTCTTCCTTTTAAAAGGGGGTTATCTTTCCCACTGTCGCCAAAGTGCTTGCTTATAGGGGGTCATATGATTGTCCCTGTATCTATTATTGCACGATCTACTGTACAATATAAAGCACATCAAGGTGAATGTATTGATTTTGTCATGGCTGTGTGCAGGCAGGCAGGGAAGAAGGACCCAAAATGCAGGACTCACTGAGGCAAAGTTGAACTCAAAATAAACAGCTTTATTGCAGGTTGCAGACTGAACAAAAGACTAACTATATTGGGGGGAAAATAAACTAACAGGCAGGCATAACAGGTAACGGAACACACAGAGGAATCTGAGGGTGAGCAGACGTTAACGACGCGACACTGACACAGAGAAACACAGGGCTTAAATACACAGATGGCAGTAATCAAGGGATGAGAGACAGGAGGGGAACACACCTGGGAGAAATCACAGCTGACGAGACAGGGGAAACCTAAACTGAGTACACTCACAAAAGACACAGACCTTCACAATAAAACAGGAAACTCAGACACCGGGAACCAGACAAGACGCTGAACTGAACAGACAGATTCACAAAATGATGGGGTGACACCATAGACAGAGATACAGACGCAGACTCAGAGGCAGACCGAAGAGAACTCAAATAATAATCATAATAATAAACTAGAAAATGATAATAATAAACTTAAAGCGCTGGGTCACCGACCCAGGACCATGACAGATTTGGTGCTATATATATAAAACTGAATTGAAATTGAATTGAATTGAATAAATAAACATTGTATCTTTTATTTTATCAGGTCCAAGAACCTGACGTTGATCAGGAAGGACAAAGAATGGCAATCAGGTAATGAGGTGAAAGAGTTCAAATGCTGTAGTAAGCAATCACTGTTAAGCAAGATAAAGTACATGTAAGTAACAGGGTTTTGGGTTTTTTTTTTGGATCATGTGACTTATAGAGATGAACAGGGTGCAGCAGCCAGAAATCCACCTGAGCAGGTAAGAATATAATTATTATATGTAGTGAGATAGAAATTATGAATACACAAATGTAAAAAAGTAACATTTACTCTAATTTTTTCTTTATTACTCAGTAACTACTGATTATTTCTCAGGTGTACACTTTCACATATCAGATTAAAGGTGAAGGTCAACAAGGCAGGCAGAGTGAGCTGAATCTTTTCACATATTGTTCTTGATTTCCTTTTCATTGACTGAGAGAACTATTTGATTCCCAAGGAAAAAATTACTTTTGACTTGGTGTACAAACCCTTATTAGCAATCATAGCAGTAAAACGTTTCTTGTAATTCATCACCTGGTTTGCACAAATCTCGGGGGGATGTTGGTCCACTTATATTTACAGAACATTTTATATCTTTTTGTCAGATACTGTAAAAACTATTAGCTTTAACTCCTTTGATACTGATACTGTACAACAGATTAATGGGAGAGCAGTCCAGAGGCTTCAGTTTAAAATATTTCTTCAACATTAAAGTAAGGTGACCCCGACCAAACACCATATTTTACTCCAGACAGTGGTGCCCCTTCTGAGTGGTGGAACAATCACTGTTTTTAACAGTTGTTGAATGCCGCTTTTTACATCACGCAGTTGAGGGAAAAGCAGCTTTCAAAGACCGGTTAAAAACAGTATTTTTTCCACCGCTCAGTCCTGGTAATTATACAGGGCCCTCCCCATTGTTCTTTCATCCAATTACTTTCAACACAGTTTTAAATTTAATTACTTGTTTACTGTAAATGTTTTATATTTGTATTTATCAATATCAACTGTTCTAACTTTTAAATTAATTAAATTTACTTTATGTCAGATACATATAGATATATAGAGCTAGATATAGATATCAATATCAATCTATATATATCTGTATCAGCTCTTTCATTTGTGTAAGCAACAAGAATTGAGCTCGCTCACCTACATTACTCAGGCTTACATAATGCAGGCTTTGGTAAATATAACTCTTGGAAAAGAGAAGTCTTGATAAAGTAAGACATTCCATTTTTTCTCCAATGGTCATATAAGTGAATTCAGCATGGATTCATAAAAAATAAATACATAAATAAAAGCCTTCTAAACATTTTAAGGTTGGCTAGTGGAGCAGACATTAGAAAAAACTTTGACAAAAGTTAAGATCTCCATTTGTTTCAGAAAAAGTATTCTATTGTTTGTTTGCTTTATTGTGCTTTAAAGACATCAAAATGCATAGTGGAATTAGTATACTAGTAAAAATTGTGACAAGGATTGGTACAGAATAGATGAACATAAGCATCACTTGGCAGCAAAGTGAATCTGTGATAAATTAGTGTTTTCTGCACTTCTTCTTTGACTGGGTGACAGGAGTTGAAAGTAACTGGATGGGAGAACCATGGGGAGGGCCCTGCATAATTTCAAGAAAACATCTTTTTCTACGCTGTCACAGCTAGCACTGAGCAGCCGAAAAAACACAGGTTTTACCGGTCTTTAAACACTGTTTTTTCTGGCGCCCACAAAAACGTTGTTCATTGCAAATAAAGTGGCATTCAAAGACTGGGAAAACAGCGTTTTTTCCGCCACTCAGAAGGGGTGTTCAAAGCGCAAGTCTCTGCCGTAAAAAATGACATTCTGAACACAGCGAATTTTACACCATTACTTAGCCAGACGGATTAAGAAAGTGGTTTGTTATGGCACTATTACCTTGCCATAGAGGGGCTGTGTGTGAAAAGGAGAAATTCTCACAGGCATCCTCTTTGTGTTCATGGCTGCTGAATTCTGCAAGCCGTTTTTGAATTTACATGCAAAGAAAAATTAATTGAAAAGGAAATTATTTGCTCAAATTATGTTTTTTCTCGCAATATAAAGATATAAAGATCATTCGTAAACGTGCCTTGTTAGCATTTGTTAAAATGATGCACAAAATGCCAATATTTTCCTGTATTCCAGTTTGTTAAGTTCACTGCATGAACCTTAAACAATAGATCGCATTTGTACATAAACAAAAAATTAAAACAAATATAAATAAATCTTCAAATGTAGAGCAGCATGTCATCACATCTTTTGTTTCTTTATAGGGAGGAGTGAGAGTCAATCCAACACGACCAGCACAAAAAACTCCCGAAGTAAGAGCACATGAGACATACGAGAAGGATAGAAAGGCAGAAAACCAGGATTTGCGCAGGGAAAATCTGAATGTTCTCTTTAAAAATTCTGAAAGAACAACATTGCAGTTTGATACTAATGATCGAGACGAATGGTTGAGAATGATGCCAGAATTCCTTGAACTTGATGGATATAACATGACACAGAGCACAAAAAATTGTACCATATTGAAAAACGGAAGGATTACAGTTGTGTCGTATGATTCTGGACAATTTCTAATATATGGCAAGGATCAGAATACAAATGATTTTGAAAGGTGGTTTGAAGCAAACAAAAATAGAATCACAGACCTACACAATGTCATGGAAAGGATGAATTTACGGGACCATGATTAACATTGTCAGCCAGAAAGCAAGAAAGAGCATAGGCTTTCTGACTGCCGTTGAGCTGTTGTGGAATTCTCTGAATTGTGTAGTTTTTGGAGGAATTACAGCTCAACTTTGTACTCACTGGTGGGGGTTGAGTTCATTTAATACATGAAAGTCTTTTATAGCTTTTCTGTAACGTGACACTGTACTAACACTAAATTAATTATTTGATAAACATACATAAAGGCTAGATTTTAACGCAAGAACTGGCATGCACGATTATTCAAATAAGCTCCTTAATACATTCAACACTTTCAGTTTTCAACTTCATGCTTTACATTTTTTTATTTATAAATGCTTGTTTTCAGTGACAGTAAATGCTTGAAAAAACAAATATGAGCATTGGCAGATTTTAAAATATGAAAGCCCTTTCTCAGCACTTTTAAAAAGCCTTTAAATCTGAACATGTGAATGTGATTCATCAGGACTAAGTGAGGTGAATGATCATATCTAGGACATATTTTCTAGGACATATTTTCTGTTCTTAGATTATAAGATTGTTTGATTTTGATTTTATTATGAGCCATCCATTGGGGGGTGGGGGTTCATTTTTTTTTCTGAATTGATAAGATGGTATTGTGTGAATTTGTTTAGAATTGTTGGTTTGGGTTACTTTTTTGGGAGAGGGAGGGACATTCTTGTAAGGATACAAATTATAGATTAAAGTTTTCTCTTTTTGGTGGATTTCCTTTTCTTTATTTTACTACAACTGTTTAAAATAAACAAAACACATTTTACAACTCAAACCACACACTCAAACCTATTGCACAAAAGCATTATAACTGCAAGTACTATTCAATACACACTTAGTTTTTAAGTTTCCTCATACTTGGCTTGCATAGTCATTGGGCTTCATTCTCTTATATTGTCTTTACCTTACAACTACCCTAAATTAACTATGAAAGAGATACCACAAAACAGAGATTATCCCTTAAATGGTTATTTAAGACACAGTTCTATTTACATGCAGAGAAGCACCACCAACCTGCTCTTCAAACCTTCTGCTTATTGGAAAAGAGCTAAAGCTAATAGTTTTCAAACTATTGCTGTTGTAATTCAGTGCAAGAATGACAATGAGTATTATATTTATCACAATAGGTTCAATTCGAACCTCTGCTGCATTTTAGGAAAATATCACATGATTGAGTAAAGACTCAGGAGAAGCTATTGCGTCAGTTTTATTTGCTTACATGGTACAAATGATATTCATCAAAATTTTAAGAAGAAAAAAATCCCCAGCAACTTACAGTGTCCCTCAGTGTGAGAGGAGTAGAAGATCCTGATTAATTTTATATATATATGCATATACATATATATACATATGTATACATACATATATATATATAGCAGACATGAGCGAGACAGATAAATATGAAGGCATGCCGGCTCGGACGTTGCCCGGATCAACAAGGTCCGCGTCAGGTGTTGAGGAACCAGGGCACCCTGACGAGAA